ACCAGGATCGCTCCTTCTCTATTTGTTTTTTTTTTCGAGCAGATGGAGTTTCACCTTACACTGAGAAAAAAAGACACGAACAATGTTATGTAACATTTCCTGATGATTTCAGGCATCAGGTATTCCTTAACAGCGTTACATACAGTAATGGACAAAAGTATATAGACAAATTAATATTGTGCTGCATTTGTTTATGGAGCAATTAAGTATGAATTCGTTTTCTAAAGGTATTTAGGTAAATATTCATATTTGTCTATATACTTTTGTCCATTACTGTATGTATGTGCCGGATGCTGAGGAATAAATAAGCAGAGTTGTCACGTGGCTGGGTGGTCGGTACGGCCTGGCCACAGGACATTCGCCACAGCGAATATTCGCGCGGTGCGAACATCGAAATGTGTTGATTCTCGTTATTTTCGAGTACTCGTTACCAATCATTACTCTTCTACAAAGTAATCATTTATTGTATTCGTTACTTTGACTACTATGAGTAGTATGCGTATAACGATTTGGCAACGTGCGTCGTGTAATTAATGTCGAATTTGAACAAAACCAATGGAACCGAATCTTGTAAGAAAATAGGCAATTTGCAAAATGTTATAAGCATAGGTTATTCAAATCTGTCGTGTTTAATACAAACATCGTATCTTCAAACTTTATGCTTATCGGGATGGGTTATTATAGGATAGTGTGATATGACTCATATGAGCCTACAAACTGGAAATACTTTGTATTTACTAGAAATGCTTAAAAACATGTCGTTTAGTCAGGGTGTTCCTTAATCGTATGCGAATATTTAAGGGTATGAATCAACATGAAAAATTAATGTTAGTTTGCTTTATAAACTATGGTCCAAAAATGTCTGTTCGACTGACTTGATCCATACAATTGCTTTGTAATAATATACTTTTAGAAATTCTACGAATTACTTGTATGGTATATCTGAAGTCACTTGAAATAGCATAAAAACCTTTGGTCGGCGCGTCCTTTGTAATTTCATGACGTATCATAGGCGTGCGGTCATTTATTTAGAACGATAATAATAATGTTTTTATATCACAATAAATGGATTTTACTATCTTCTTATTTTTTTGATTTGGGATAAAAAATACTTATATTGGGAGTTTAATTTATGTTGACTGAAAGTTAAGAAGGTAGGTATATAAAAAGGTATATAAAGACTTACATTATAGGTATTTATATATCATCCTCGCCTTCGGAGCTGTCGCTAGAGTCATCTTGTAGAGGAATTACAACGGGATTTACAGGAGGCAAAACACAATATTCATTTTCTTTTTCAATAATATGCCTAGAACACTGCTTCCATAGGTCTGTGGCAGCAATATGAGATACTGCATCTCTTATTGTGGCCAATAGCGATTCACTTAATTGAGGGGTCTGATTATGTTTTCTTACTTTTTTTTTAAAGCAGCCCAGACCAACTCAATCGGGTTAAAAATGCAGTAATAGGGAGGTAGACGTAATACTTCATGGCCATTTTGCTGAAGCAGATTGTCAACAACATACTCTTTTTCAAATTTTTGTCTTTTAATAAGATCCAATAATATGGCTTTGGTTGATTCTTGTGGTATTTCCATTCCCTTATCCTTCATAAAATCAATGTCTTGTTTTTTTGTGCCTGTATTCGGAATTTTGTTTTTCTGTCGGGGATGGTATGGCGCATTGTCCATAATAATCACTGAATTTGGCGAAATGTTTGGTATTAACTGCTGCTCTATCCACTTTTCAAATAAGTCGGAGGTCATGTCCTCATGATAGTCGGCACATGATTCTTTGATATTTTTGGCAGATAACAGCAAGGCATTAGGTATAAATCCATTTTCACTGCCAGCATGGAGAATAATGATTCGTTTTCCACGGTTGCATGGTGCATTTAAAATGCACTTGTTGCTGTCGTCAACCCAGCCGTACTGCACAACATCATGGGTATCATACCACGTTTCATCCAGGTAAATCAGATTTATTTTCTGCTCTCTATAGATTTTAACTTTGTGCAAAAATTCTTGGCGCAATTCAACGATTCGAGACGACTCCATAATCACCATTCTTTTATCTAATTTTTTGTATTGAAAACCACACAGTTTTACAATACAGTGCAGTGAGTCTAAGCATTTGTAATTATAAATATCTTCAGGATAATCTTTTAATTTATCCCGTATCATTTCCAACGTGGACACCAAATTTTCTTTATAAAATCCGTATATTATACGACGAATATCTTCCTGAAAACCCACGTCTATTCTTTTTAATTTTTGCCCTATGCGCTTTCTGTGGAAGGAATGGTTGACTACATCTCCCCTTTTTATAACCCGATAAATGGTAGACCGACTGATTTTTGTCAGGATACAAATTCTGTTTAAAATTTGATTTTGCGAGGAATCTGGATTTTCGTTTTTCAGACAATCATACATATTTAGGATTACTCTGTTCCTCTAAATCTTTATCAAAGAATTCTGCCTGCACAGGTTCATCAACCATCTCCTCGTGGCTTGGAGCATTTTCCCAAGGTCTCCAAAGAGCCATATTTAGGACACACAAGAACAATCAACACAACAAGTAAACTGAGGATTCAAAAGTCAAAAACACACAAACTAATAAAATCTATGAAAAAACACGGACAGACTAAAGAAAACACGTTTATTCACCGCTACACGGCACTGGCTAAACTGTTTCAATTTTCAGTAGCCACCTGCACTTGTTCGGAGCTCTGAAATACACGCTTTCTCATTGGCTATGTCCACGCATAGGCGTGCTTTACTCCGCGTGGACCGGTGAAACTGCCTTTGATCTTATACGGGGGATATTTGCTGCGAAATTTGGCGATTTTTGCAGCAACAGAGCGTGTTAAATATAGATATATAAAACGCACCCGGTATTTCACAGTGTTTCAAGTGACTTCAGATAAACTATACCTCCATACAACGATAACTTCACTGGACCAAAAAAGATATTTATGAATATCGTTTTCAAGAACAGTTTCTTGTACTACACAAATGTAATATGCATGTATACGTGAACCCTTTGTTTCTGTTGTGGGCACTTCTGATAATAAGCGCACCGTCCGCCGTTGAGTAAATTAAGTGAACAGATATGGTGCTTTGTGAAGCAAAAATGTATGCAGTCATTGTTTCTTCTCTTTTGTCTAATATAGGACCGCAGCAAAGTTAAGCTATTACTGAAAACAAATCACCAATTTTTCGGTGAGGATACCGTTATAGGACTGTGAAATATGTTCCAGTAGGGCTCATTCTGGTGATTTGCTATATATAGAAATACCTTTTTTACTTTCCACGCCACTGACGAGGAAGTGCTGCAAAAATTTCGTGAATGAGATATTATGGTTTTCGGACATTGCAGGACAAGTACAAATATGACCCCGTTATATCATGAAAAGTATTGATCGGGTTTTCATAACCAAATGTAAGTGTTGATACGCTTTGCAATTCCAAGCATGTCCGGGGACAGACGAAACTCGCGTTACTTGCAAAAATCCAATATGGGGGACACGAGTCAAACCGTCATATTGTAAATCTAATTATGTGTGTAGGGGAGGAAATGTTGCTATAATATTTTTTCGGAAATACTCTAAATTGCGAAATTTTCTAGGTGTCATTTTCATAGTTTCTTTGCCCTCATTAAACTAACTTTGTATCTCTTACCGTTTCCCAAATCCCAATGATGAGAGTCGAATTTGGAGATCTGGTATGGCGACGTTGCCAGATGGTCAGTATTGTCTCCAGGGCAGGGAAGAGATTTCTAAATTGCGACGTTGAAATGTGGGTGGGGATTATCTCCTAACTATATGCGCATGTTTGACTGACTGGATCCATTTATTTTCTGTTATACATGTTCGTAACTATAACGGCCTACACGAAAAAGTAGTAACTATTTGTATATTAATAGAGCAAAGTTTTCGTATATCAAAAAATTATCTACTATTTTCCGTCGTTGATCCTTTTCTCAAATAGAAACATCTTATTTATTTGACGTGTGTTTTAGGCCTAGATACACACAAGGATTCTAAGTGTTTGTTTTCGTTTGATCGCCAGTTCTCAACGACCGTATATTTAAAAATAAGCCCGCTACTGTCAAATTACTAGAATTTAAGTCTAGGACCGCCCTTGATACCACCGTAGTAATAATAGATTTTTATGGACCAGAATATCTACCGTTTAAGACAACCGGCTTGGCGACAAATAGTAGGAGGATCAGTCACGTATTTACGTAACATAGGCCACTACAGTCAAACAAAAAAGTTCACGGTTTGTAAAACAGTATAAATGGTTTCAGTACATGAATAGTCTAAAATATATTTTTTTTAAACCTATGAAGCTTTTTCGTGCTTGTGTCAAAATTTCATCAACATTTGAGTCAATCCAGTCAAAAAGATATGCTAAGTTTGGGGGCGATTTGAAGCATCTTGTATTTTGATCATAACTCGCGTACTTTCAAAAAAACAAGTGACATTGCCTATTAATAGCTTCTGTGTCGGAAGTAAAACATATCATCTCGAATATTCGAACTCCACTTGACCTGTTTTTGTTAGTTCGTTTTGTTAAATACGCATAAAGTTAAAAAAATGGCGTCCAAGTACGTTGACTCTACACTTGCCATGTAACGCTGACATTGGTTCGTGAATGATTACAATCAGTACAAGGTTTTTAATTTTTTTGTGTGAAAATTTTATTAAAAACTTGACTAGCATCCTTCAGTTGCATGACATGAAAAGACAATGACAAATACTGGCTACTGCCTCTCGAACTACTCAACCTAAAAGAAGAATGTATAATTTCCGAGTGAAAAGTCCATTAAACCAAAATTTTGTGACTCAAGCTCGGAGTCAGGTCTGTTTAAAAGTGCCGCACCGCTTCACGTGGGCTGCTCGAATGGCCACAGCCAATCACCATCCGATCTGATAGAAATCCCAAGAGGTACTAACCTATCCTTGCCGCGTACCTTGGTCTTGTAGTACGCTAGATCTCAGTCATGTGTCGGCTCTTCGCGGGTTTGTACGCTCGATCCTAAGTCAGCACGCCGCACGTGGGTTGTCACCATGAATTCGGTCGCGTATCTTTTTGCTTTGGTGGTTGTCACCCTGGCTAGGAACAACCACTCGCGTAGACAGGTATCCCAAGGGTACCTACCCCGTTGTAGGTTTGACGAACATATTTTAAAAAATCACGAGCTTTTCGCGGAGAAAATCAAGGGTGCGCACGTTGTGTTTACGGGTAAAGTAGCCAGTGAAGTGGTTGTTGCTAATGGTACTATGAAGTTCCGAGTGATGGTGCGGCGGTACTTCAAGAACGTCCTTGGGTTGCCGAAGAATAAGGAGGTTAGAGTGTTAAAAATTTCGAATGAAGGGGAGGGAGCGAAGTGCCGTCAACCTGTCAGGATGAAATACACCGCAATTTTTGTTGGACGTAAAGCACAGAATATCCAAGGTGTTGATGTGGTACTCATCATGTCTCCAATCTCAGTCACATTAACTAATTTGGATAGGGTCAGCGAAGCTACCAAAGGTAAGGGAGTTTTATTTTAGAAAGTTGTACCTTATGTCGTTTATGTCGTACTGATCATTGGTAGATCATTTGAAATACTCTAGTTCCCAGGAGTACTTTCTTTTAGAGGCATGTTGCACCATACGCGCGAAATCCTGATGTCTCCTAATCTATGTCAAATCGTTTTTGAGTATGTTAAAGGGGTTCTCACCATGATGACGTTCACGAAACTTTCCGCTTTGGTGATTGTCACCCTCGCTAGAAATAACCACTCGCGTAGACAGGTACCCCAAGGGTACTACCCCTCTGTAAGTTCGACTAACATATTTTGAAAAATCACCAGATTTTCGCGGCGAAAATTAAAGGCGCATACGTTGTGTTTTCGGGTAAAGTAGCCAGTGAAGTTGTTTTTGCTAATGGTACTATGAAGTTCCGAGTGATGGTGCGGCGGTACTTCAAGAACGTCCTTGGGTTGCCGAAGAATAAGGAGGTTAGAGTGTTGAAAATTTCGAATGAAGGGGAGGGAGCGAAGTGCCGTCAACCTGTCAGGATAAAATACATCGCAATTTTTGTTGGACGTAAAGCACAGAATATCCAAGGTGTTGATGTGGTACTCATCATGTCTCCAATCTCAGTCACATTAACTAATTTGGATAGGGTCAGCGAAGCTACCAAAGGTAAGGGAGTTTTATTTTGGAAATGTGTAACTTATGTCGTGCTGATCATTGGTAGATCATTTGAAATACTTTAGTTTCCAGGAGTACTTTCTTTTAGAGGCATGTTGCACCATATGCGCGAAATCCTGATGTCTCCTAATCTATGTAAAATCGTTTTTGAGTACTCGTATGTTAAACGGGTTATCACCATGATCACGATGACGTATCTTCCCGCTTTGGTAATTGTCATCCTCGCTAGAAATAACCACTCGCGTAGACAGGTACCCCAAGGGTACTACCCCTCTGTAAGTTCGACTAACATATTTTGAAAAATCACCAGCTTTTCGTGGCGAAAATTAAAGGTGGACACGTTGTGTTTTCGGGTAAAGTAGCCAGTGAAGTTGTTGTTGCTAATGGTACTATGAAGTTCCGAGTGATGGTGCGGCGGTACTTCAAGAACGTCCTTGGGTTGCCGAAGAATAAGGAGGTTAGAGTGTTAAAAATTTCGAATGAAGGGGAGGGAGCGAAGTACCGTCAACCTGTCAGGATGAAATACACTGCAATTTTTCTTGGACGCAAAGCACAGAATATCCAAGGTGTTGATGTGGTACTCATCATGTCCCCAATCTCAGTCACATTAACTAATTTGGATAGGGTCAGCGAAGCTGCCAAAGGTAAGGGAGTTTTATTTTGGAAATGTGTAACTTATGTCATGCTGATCATTGGTAGATCATTTGAAATACTCTAGTTCCCAGGAGTACTTTCTTTTAGAGGCATGTTGCACCATATGCGCGAAATCCTGATGTCTCCTAATCTATGTAAAATCGTTTTTGAGTACTCGTATGTTTAACGGGTTATCACCATGATCACGATGACGTATCTTCCCGCTTTGGTAATTGTCATCCTCGCTAGAAATAACCACTCGCGTAGACAGGTACCCCAAGGGTACTACCCCTCTGTAAGTTCGACTAACATATTTTGAAAAATCACCAGATTTTCGCGGCGAAAATTAAAGGCGCATACGTTGTGTTTTCGGGTAAAGTAGCCAGTGAAGTTGTTTTTGCTAATGGTACTATGAAGTTCCGAGTGATGGTGCGGCGGTACTTCAAGAACGTCCTTGGGTTGCCGAAGAATAAGGAGGTTAGAGTGTTGAAAATTTCGAATGAAGGGGAGGGAGCGAAGTGCCGTCAACCTGTCAGGATTAAATACATCGCGATTTTTGTTGGACGTAAAGCACAGAATATCCAAGGTGTTGATGTGGTACTCATCATGTCTCCAATCTCAGTCACATTAACTAATTTGGATAGGGTCAGCGAAGCTACCAAAGGTAAGGGAGTTTTATTTTGGAAATGTGTAACTTATGTCGTGCTGATCATTGGTAGATCATTTGAAATACTTTAGTTTCCAGGAGTACTTTCTTTTAGAGGCATGTTGCACCATATGCGCGAAATCCTGATGTCTCCTAATCTATGTAAAATCGTTTTTGAGTACTCGTATGTTAAACGGGTTATCACCATGATCGCGATGACGTATCTTCCCGCTTTGGTAATTGTCATCCTCGCTAGAAATAACCACTCGCGTAGACAGGTACCCCAAGGGTACTACCCCTCTGTAAGTTCGACTAACATATTTTGAAAAATCACCAGCTTTTCGTGGCGAAAATTAAAGGTGGACACGTTGTGTTTTCGGGTAAAGTAGCCAGTGAAGTTGTTGTTGCTAATGGTACTATGAAGTTCCGAGTGATGGTGCGGCGGTACTTCAAGAACGTCCTTGGGTTGCCGAAGAATAAGGAGGTTAGAGTGTTAAAAATTTCGAATGAAGGGGAGGGAGCGAAGTACCGTCAACCTGTCAGGATGAAATACACTGCAATTTTTCTTGGACGCAAAGCACAGAATATCCAAGGTGTTGATGTGGTACTCATCATGTCCCCAATCTCAGTCACATTAACTAATTTGGATAGGGTCAGCGAAGCTGCCAAAGGTAAGGGAGTTTTATTTTGGAAATGTGTAACTTATGTCATGCTGATCATTGGTAGATCATTTGAAATACTCTAGTTCCCAGGAGTACTTTCTTTTAGAGGCATGTTGCACCATATGCGCGAAATCCTGATGTCTCCTAATCTATGTAAAATCGTTTTTGAGTACTCGTATGTTTAACGGGTTATCACCATGATCACGATGACGTATCTTCCCGCTTTGGTAATTGTCATCCTCGCTAGAAATAACCACTCGTGTAGACAGGTACCCCAAGGGTACTACCCCTCTGTAAGTTCGACTAACATATTTTGAAAAATCACCAGCTTTTCGCGGCGAAAATTAAAGGTGCACACGTTGTGTTTTCGGGTAAAGTAGCCAGTGAAGTTGTTGTTGCTAATGGTACTATGAAGTTCCGAGTGATGGTGCGGCGGTACTTCAAGAACGTCCTTGGGTTGCCGAAGAATAAGGAGGTTAGAGTGTTAAACATTTCAAATGAAGGGAAGGGTGCGAAGTGCCGTCAACCTGTCAGGATGAAATACACCGCAATTTTTGTTGGACGTAAAGCACAGAATATCCAAGGTGTTGATGTGGTACTCATCATGTCCCCAATCTCAGTCACATTAACTGATTTGGATAGGGTCAGCGAAGCTACCAAATGTAAGGGAGTTTTATTTTGGAAATGTGTAACTTATGTCGTGCTGATCATTGGTAGATCATTTGAAATACTCTAGTTCCCAGGAGTACTTTCTTTTAGAGGCATGTTGCACCATAGGCGCGAAATCCTGATGTCTCCTAATCTATGTAAAATCGTTTTTGAGTACTCGTATGTTAAACGGGTTCTCACCATGATGACGTTCACGTATCTTTCCGCTTTGGTAATTATCACCCTCGCTAGAAATAACCACTCGCGTAGACAGGTACCCCAAGGGTACTACCCCTCTGTAAGTTCGACTAACATATTTTGAAAAATCACCAGCTTTTCGCGGCGAAAATTAAAGGTGCACACGTTGTGTTTTCGGGTAAAGTAGCCAGTGAAGTTGTTGTTGCTAATGGTACTATGAAGTTCCGAGTGATGGTGCGGCGGTACTTCAAGAACGTCCTTGGGTTGCCGAAGAATAAGGAGGTTAGAGTGTTAAAAATTTCGAATGAAGGGGCGGGTGCGAAGTGCCGTCAACCTGTCAGGATGAAATACACCGCAATCTTTGTTGGACGTAAAGCGCAGAATATCCAAGGTGTTGATGTGGTACTCATCATGTCCCCAATCTCAGTCACATTAACTAATCTGGATAGGGTCAGCGAAGCTACCAAAGGTAAGGGAGTTTTATTTTGGAAATGTGTACCTTATGTCGTTTATGTCGTGCTGATCATTGGTAGATCATTTGAAATACTTTAGTTCCCATGAGTACTTTCTTTTAGAGGCATGTTGCACCATATGCGCGAAATCCTGACGTCCAATAACCAGACCGTTTCTGTTTTTATTGAACTCGCTTTGATACTTGCCACCCTCTCAAGCAACAACCATCCTCGTAGACAGGTAGCCCAAGGGTACTACCCCTCTGTAAGTTCGACTAACATATTTTGAAAAATCACCAGCTTTTCGCGGCGAAAATTAAAGATGCACACGTTGTGTTTTCGGGTAAAGTAGCCAGTGAAGTTGTTGTTGCTAATGGCATTATGAGGTTTTGAGTGATGGTTCTCCGACACTCCAAGAATGTCGTTAGACTTTCGAAGAAGAAGAAGGTTAAAGTGTTGGAAATTTCAAATGAATTTTTGTTGAACGAAAAGCACTGAGGTGTTGATGTCCCCGATCTCAGGCACACTGACTAACTAGGATAAAATTAGGGAAGCAGTATTATATGTAAGCTCTGATGTATGTTGAAGTTTGGTGAATGGGTCGAACAGTCAGAATTACGGAACAAACCTTTCTGAAGCGTCAGGATATCTATTAGCAGCCTATACATTTTTTTTTAAATATGAGTATTTAGACTTAGCTAAACCAAACATGAGCAAATCACTTCCTTCTACTCTAAATGCAGCAATTCTAGTTGGTTAAATATGTTAAGTAGTACTTGAAACAGCCTATAGATTCTATTCACTTAGCATTGCTGAAGAGTTAATTGTAAACACAGGAGCTTTCATGTCTGCTTTTAAAAACCTCATGCATTCCTAATAACGTATAAATATTGCAGAGCAGTGAAGCTGGAAGCGTTTTCAGAAACGATTATTTCTGGTAATAATGAATTAGAATATATTATTATGGAACTTTTAGAATTTGAGATATTTTGTAGGTGTTTTTGCGGGTACCAGACTTGATGATGTTTCAAAATGAAATCATTTCAAGGCGTAGGAGAGTAGTCTTGGGATTGAAAAAATTTTAAAATTACTATCC